TGAAAATGAAGGGAAGGAAGTGCTAATTTATGTGATCTGAATTTAAAACATGAGCTGTACTTTATGTGTGGTGCCTGATCCTCTTTTCATTTGAGACTGGAAAGTGGAACCTGATAAGGACAGTGGCGATTTAAGCCTCATGGAGGAATGTGGGGGTGATAAAAAGTGTCTCACGTGTTCGGTATAAAACAGAAAGGGGAAGAGTGGCAACCAAGCCTAGTCATGTTTTCGTCATGGGTGCGACCAACAGCTTCTGCAAATACGTCTATTCCAGAGTCTGAATTGTGTTTCTTGCAAGTTATTCAGCACTGTGGCATTAAATGTGGCACGAAGGATTTCCCACATATCTCAAAACTCTTTTCACAGAACAGTTAAAAAAAATAAAAACGTAAAAAAAAAAAAAAATGTTTTTATTTATACAAAATGTGATTGGAAATGTCAAATATCAAATAAATGGATTGTTTTATACCTTTGAATGCACATTTAATAAAACAGACAAACAAAGGCATCACAGAGCACACTAGCTTTGTAGTTCACAAAACACCAAAAAAACACCAACAGTAACACAGCTTATTGTGAGCACCTTAGTGTATAAGTTACCAGATGCTTTAGTTTATGATAGTTTAATCCTCTGTAGCTATGAAATTCCCTGACAGTTGACTGCTTTGTGTCAAAAGCTTTGAAATCAATCTCTCTTTTAAAAATATTAAAATATATATTTGATGTTAGATTATAATCTATCTATCTATCTATCTATCTATCTATCTATCTATCTATCTATCTATCTATCTATCTATCTATCTATCTATCTATCTATCTATCTGCCTGCCTGCCTGACGAAGGATGGAGGATGAAGGTAACGGTGTCCCAGTGGTAATCTGAGTAGTAGGTGCGGTGACTCCCAAGCTAGGCAAGTGGCTCCAGCAGCAACATCTGAGATCTCTGTCCAGACAGAGCTCAGTCCTGGGAACAGCTAAGATACTGCGCAGGGCCCTCAAGCTCCCAGGCCTCTAGTAGAGGATCTGAGCTTGGACAGCAGGAAAAAGCCTGTGGGCACAAAGGCAAGTCTGAAACCGATCACTGTGTAGTAGTAGCAGTTACCAGCCACAGGCAGAAGATATTCTGAGTGCAGAATGCAAGCTGTGTCAGGAAAAGGTTTATCTGCAAGGCCTCAAGAGACTGCACACATGGAGTAAAGAGTCCTCAATGTATTATCAGAGGCACATTTTGAAAGAGAAAGTAAAGTTAGCTAGCCGATATTTTATTTCATTATGTTCAAGGTTAAATGATTTTCATTGCACTGTTAAAAAAAGGAAATCTCTGGTGCACAGACTGATATTCAAGCAACAGATAGCATTTGACAATACTATACTATACTATTAGATATGATAACTTTCTTTTTTAGTTTATATGGGTGTGATTAAATTTTCATATCGGGGGGAGGGGGCGGTCAGAGGGTGTAGTGTATTAAATGTTGAAATCAACAATTTGTAATTGTACCAAGGAAGTGGAATTCCCTAAGGTTTGGAAAAAGATGTGATATGGATATCATATCTGCCTCATTTACATCTGTATGCAAACTACCTGGGATCTGGCTTCAACAGCTTTAGCACTTTTTTCCATCTCTAACGAACAGATGCAGCTTTAGTCCAGCTCCCTGATGGGAGTAATTTGCGTACAGAACTCTCTGTTATCTATTATCAGATTCATTACAATGCTGAAGTCCCTCAAGGATTCCCTGCAGCTCTCCGTGAAGCTTTGATATTTTTTATCAGATGGTAAAGGTGCACAAACGTGTCTTCAGTTTGCAACACGTTTGGCTAGAAGAACTGGAGGATTTTCTCCACAATCCCAAACATCTTCTCAACACTTAAAATAGCCTCTGGAAGAGCAACAGGTGGTTGGTGTATGTGTGCGCGAGAACAGTTGCACATTATAAGGTCTAAGATCTTACATCAGCTTTAGCCTAATGGAAACAGAATAAAGTGCAACCTCCTAGCAGCTATGATTTAGTGACGACTTCCTCCACGTTTTGTGAGTAAGCGCCCAAAATTAGACACAAAGAGCGGATGTCACAAAGCAATGACGTTGTGTCTGATAAGACAGGTATGATAACAAGCGAAATTTGTTTCTGTGCAGCAGGGAGGACCCAGACAGTGCTCACATGACATCACAGATTAACAGGAAAACAAACGCGCAACACCAGGGTGATTAGTTTCCACCACCCGAGGCTGCCATCAGTAGCTCAGGAGCCAAAAATGTGTACCGTCCAAGAATTTTGTCTTGACGCCAGTAGCAACTGTGTAACCACGTCGCCTTGGGTGCACGCAGCTCAATCATTCACCATCACCCGTACTCACAATTTCTGCTTGATGTGTGAGTGTGTGCGCGGCCTGCTTCCTCTGCTGTCAGCTTGTGAAAAGCTCTTCCTCCCATGTGGCAACAGAACTATGACTGACATTCGGGGGCAGTGAGCACATCATTAATGAGAGTCTGGAGGTTGACAGGCGCTTTGAGAAAACACGAGTCGAGGTGGGAAGAGATGTGACGCAGTGGGGTCTCGCATAAAGCCTCGCAAGACAGTACTGGTTTCTGAGTGGTAATAGTAGAGGTTTCTGAGTGGAGGAGTAAGAAAGAGAGAAACGCAAGTGCACTACACACTACTGCACGACAGCAACACCTCATAGGGGTGCCCTCTAACGAACTTGTGTAGGTGGACAGGAGAGCCTCATATGAGTAAAGACTATACGCTAGCAATTATCACGTACAAATGTCCAACCCAGAGTCCTCTCTTGATCTCATTGTGTACAGTTTTTCTCTACTTTATACTGATTAATATCTTTGCAACAAAACACAAAAGAATTTACCAATATGTGAAACAGAAACAATGATCTCAAACTAGGCTCTGACTGTGATCCTCTTTACAATTAGGTCTCAAAAAGGCACACACACATAAAGGCCTTTGTGTCACAGTCAAGGGCTCTCATTTAAATCAGTAAAAACCAATTCACACACACAGCTCTAAGGACTGAGTTTTCACTTTAACTCAAGTTTTAATTTCTGTTTTACTCGATTACTACTCTGTGAATCACACTTAAGGCGATCAGATGCTAGCAAGTAAATGTAGGGCAAATGTAGGAAGCATTACTAATACTGAGAGGTAGTCTGAAAAGCTGATACATATAACTCGCTGAATAAACATAAGCTATGCAGGTTAAAAGTTCGGTATTAAGAATATGAACGAAAAGTGTGCTGTTTTAAAAATTACATTGCTGCCCAGTTTTTTGAGGCATAAATGGAAGGCAAGGTTTGTCTTTGTATGCTCTTTTATTCACCTTTTCCTGTTGCAGTAACTGTTATTTCAGCTGCTGTTCTGTCTGTTAGTCATCTCTGGCTGGGAATGCAGATTTCTGCACAAACACCTGGCTGAAGAAGAGGCAACTAAAAAATGTGGGGAAGTGTCTCGTGAGACAGGAGCATAAATGGATTACGATGGCTCTCCCTCCTGCTCATGCAAAGAGTGCTCACTATGTGTGCCTTTCCTAAGCACTCAGTGTTTAGTCTAACAATTATGCAAGGCGGCTTTCTTTTTTATATGTTAGGTGCAGGACAATATATTCGCGTTAAGGATGCAAACACAAGCTTGAATCAAAACCACAGTAATAAATCTGACTGGCCCTCATTAGCTAAAGGGCCTTAAAACCCAGCCTGATTTCTGGCTCCCACAGTTTGGCTGTGTGTCCATGTAGCACACAGAGTATAACACATCAATTACAGATACTGCTGATCTCAACTCATTTTGTGTATAAAGCACACCTCTCCACAAAATCATTTTCTTCATTCAACTTCTCCCCCACCATGGACAAGACCAAAGAGCTTTCAAAGCAAGAAGCTTTGTGAGAACATAACACCTGTTAGTGCGACCATTCAGAATGCTATGCAAGATCCTGCCTGGGTCCTGGGTCCATCAGAAAGGTGATTGATCGGCCCATAGCAGGAGCAGTTAAGGTAATTAATATAGCCAGTCTCCAGACCTCAATGCATGATGCATCGTGCTGCCAAGTATCACCCAAGAAACAGATTTACAGTTTCTGTGAAGAGGAGTGGACCAAAATCCTTCCTGAGATGTGTACAAACCTGGTGACCGAGTACAAGAAACATCTTATCGCTGTGCTGCCAACAAGTGCTTCTCCACCCTTGTACTACTAAGTCATGTTTTACTTAGGGATTAAGGCCACTAACTGACATGCAAATCAGTTTATAACTTTCATGTAGTGTATTTTTTTTTCAACATTTTGGTTGATATACTGTCTCTCTGCATTAAAATAAAACGATCATAAGACAAATAGACTATTCAATTTTTGGAACTGTGCAAACTTGCAAATTCAGCTGGGGATCAAATAATATTTCCACCACTGTGTGTGTGCCTACTTTGTCCTTGCAATAACCCCTCTATAGATGAGAGATTGAAGGATTTCTGTGCAGTCCCATACAAAGAAGAACACCTGATGTACACTGCAGATATGTAAAATGTAGGTCTCAGCAGAATTCTTCTCCATTCTTACCCAAAGACGCCAGGCTTAAAAATAGCTTTTTTTCTCTCTCTCTCTCTCACAGGAATAGAAAAACATCTGTGACTTCCTGTTTGTAAATGATAAAATCACAGTTTTTCCACCAATAATCAGCAAAGCATGGCAGCCTATAACAAAGACATTCTTGCGGGGAGTCGACTATCAGTGTTTGCATGCGCAGAATTACTTTTATTTGTATTTGTAGAGTTTTATTTAGCCATGTGTGAGAGTGAGAGCGTGCCTGTGCGTGCGTGTCTGCTCAGGGAGGACAATGCTGCGGTTCTTGGTCGTATGCGCGTCAACGGAATCCCGTAGTGCGTCATCCTGTGACTGTTCTCTCGAACAGCGCTGTGATTGGCCGCAGACTGGAAATCTCCCCGCCCATGTATGGAAACCTTCCTGCGTCATGGGTAGAGTAAAGCCAATCGTATAAAGTTGTTCCCGGGTCCCGAGCTCAGGGACTGCTTCTCAGCTGAGAGACACATAAGATGACACACGGTCGTTTGTGGAATACGGACCGTTCAAAACACTTGTAGACGGACCCAACAGGTGAGAATGAGGATTAATGATTTTTAATACAATAGACTTGAATGCGGGATGTCGTTTTTTCAGTTCTCAGGTGTACGGCTGCAGCTGAATGATACTAAACTTAATCTGGCAGCAAAATAACTTTAAATCGGAACGAAAGCAGCCATCTGTTTGCACCTTTATACACGAAAACGTGTTTGAAGTTGTGCTTGCAGAAATACATTATGTTGCAAGTTTGCTAGATTTACATCTACACTAATATAGGCTACGATTAGAATAAGTATGTCAAGTGGGTTCCCTCATCAGTCTTCTCCGCGGTATCGTAACATGTGATTCATGGGTTGGCATTGGATCCATGTCTGAAGGTCAAGTTCAATGAACTTTGCAGGCGTGACTATATATATACCACACGACTAAGTGATATATAAAAAAGCGGGTAACCTTCTCCAGTAATGAATGATGCCTAACTCGCTTCAAGCCGGGCTCTTTAATTTCTTCGAAATTCACCATGTGGCGGGTCCATGTTGTGGATTTGCAGAGGGGTTCATGATGGTCTTCTTTTAAGACTTTCTGCATATCTATAGATGCTGCAAAGAAGCATACTTGATGTTAATTAGTGTTGTATCAAACTAATGCTTGAGAAGGTGAGACATCCAGGGTAAAGCCAGTCATTTTTCATGCAAAAATCTACAGCAACATAAATTAAAAATAGGCAATATTTTGTTATGAAATTTTGAGCTGAATCACTGCAATGACTTCTAACTTTTAACCATTGGTTATCCAACGTGTGGCCCTGCACTTATGTTGTCTAAGGCTGTGGAGAAACAGTGTCTTCCACCTCTGTTATAGCTGGTTAACCTGCCAAAGCTTGAAGGTTGGGTAAAGATAGTGACAGGATTTTGTGTCTTCTCTTATATTCTTATTTTTTGTGTTTTTCAGTCTTGCAGTCATGACTTGCATATATTCCCAGCACAGATCTCAGCCTAGTGAGAACAACCTCGGCAGCTCAGAGTTTCAGAACACAGACTTTATCTCCAGACTGGCTGTGGGAATGAGTAGCCCACTGGACCAGCACCTCTCTGCACCATCCTTGCCAAGCATCGGCTCCCTGGTGGGCACTCCCACAGGAGACTTCGATGCATATTCATGCCAGTTTACTACGGCTCCTGCCCATGTTGCTCCATCCTCAGCGCAGGAAACTCCTTTCAAGCTCGATGAACTCCAAGTTTACGGCTGCTACCCTGGATCTTTCATGTTGAGTTACCCCGATGAATCTGTGTCCCCCACTGGGTCAGATTATTATGGCAGCCCTGCATCAGCCTCGGCTCCTTCAACCCCTGGGTTTCAGAGTCAGCACACATCCACCTGGGATTCAGCCTTTGGGCCATATTCACCCAGTCCAGGGTACTGGGCAACTGAGGAGACATCAGTACCCCATGCACCATCTTTCTTCACATTTGGTGCAGGATCCATGGAGGATATGTCCCCTTTGGGTCAGCCACACTTACGAGATCATGATGCTTTCGCCTTGAGCCATCCTCACCCATCTACGCTGACCTTTCCCACCTTGGAGATGGAGCATGCACGCAGCTTTGATGGTGCTGACCAACTGGACGCTGGAAGCTTGTCACCCAAGCTGAAAAGTCCAGGTGGAAACGAAGGCTGCTGTGCTGTGTGTGGGGATAACGCCTCCTGCCATCACTATGGAGTTCGCACTTGTGAAGGATGCAAAGGTTTTTTCAAGGTAATAACATCTGATATCTCTGTCCTGCAGAATCACCTATTTGAAAACAGTTGTTATCGAATTGTTTGTTTGTGCTATGTGAGTTAAGAGCATTTCTTCTTTCTGTTTTACAGCGTACTGTGCAGAAAAATTCAAAGTATGTATGCCTTTCCAACAAAGACTGTCCTGTGGACAAGAGGCGGAGGAATCGATGCCAGTTCTGCCGTTTCCAGAAGTGTCTAGCTGTAGGCATGGTCAGGGAAGGTGAGCGCAGTGCAAACACACATGATTCATAGTGTAGAAGGATGCTAACACTGAACCTGAAGTAACAGATTTACCACATTTCTTTTTTTGTTTGTTTTGTTACAGTTGTCAGAACCGATAGCCTGAAAGGGCGAAGAGGCCGCTTACCTTCCAAGCCCAAAATTATTCAGGATGTAACGGCAGCTGTGTCTCCAGTGAGCATGATCGCCGCACTCGTGAGGGCACATATTGACTCAAACCCCAGCGTTGGGACACTGGATTATTCCAAGGTAAGAAAAATACATTTTCTACAGCTGTTTCAGTTCTTTTGGAGTAATCTTTGCTAAAAAATAAATGAATAAACTGAGATAGCTACCTAAATGTCTGCGCTGTGTTTAATTTCAGTATGTTGAGATGGATACCAGCCCTAATCAGAAAGAGGACGCCAGTGATATCAGACAGTTTTACGACTTGCTTACAGCCTCCATGGAGGTTATCAGGCAGTGGGCAAATAGCATCCCGGGATTCTCTGAGTTCTGCCTTGAGGATCAGGAACTGCTGCTCGAATCGGCATTTGTTGAACTCTACATCCTGCGTCTTGCATTTCGGTGAGTGTAACTTCCTTTAAAAAAATTTAAACTACCTCTTTAGCATTTACTTTTGACATTCTTGAGATATTTTATACAGCTAACAAACTGTGTTTCTCTTGTGCAGGTCTGATCCTAAAACGGAGAAGCTCATCTTCTGCAATGGAGTCGTACTTCATAAAACGCAGTGCGTACGGGGTTTTGGCGACTGGATCGAGTCCATCTTGGAGTTTTCGCAAAATCTCCATCGCATGAAGCTCGACGTTTCCTCCTTCTCCTGCCTCACAGCCCTCGTCATAATCACCGGTAAGAAACTATCATGCTGAGTTCAGATGACACCACTATATATAGGGAATCTGCTTCAAAATACTGACATGACAAGTGTATGACAAAATATAACATGTCACATAACACATTATATATCACAGCAGACCTAAACAAAATCTACGCTGTGCTATATTTCAAAATATAGTGCATAATTTCAAAGTGGGGTCATCTTTGATACCCTTATATTGGTCTTTATTTGCTTGTTTCCTCCCTCTGTGGCCACGATGCTATGCTTTCCCATCTGTATTTAGTTTTATTTTGTTAAAGTCAGATAAATGATTGCTTAATGACTCTTATATTTTCTCAGATCGGCATGGTCTTAAGGAACCAAAACGTGTGGAAGACCTGCAGAATCAGCTCATCACCTGCCTCAAAGATCACGTCTCTGGCTGTGGCTCTGACTCTTTGAGGCCCAATTATTTATCCAGACTTCTCGGGAAGCTGCCTGAGCTCAGGACTCTGTGCACTCAAGGCCTCCAGCGCATCTTTTACCTTAAACTAGAAGACCTCGTTCCTCCGCCACCGATCGTGGAAAAAATATTTCTGGATACGCTTCCATTTTGAGCGTGAGATGGGAGATATGCCATCTGTGATGTGAAATCTGGAGCTGATCTGAGAGCCAAAGCAAACAGACTGAGTGCTCATACTCCAGGTAGCAAAGTAAAACTGCATGCAGCTAAGAAAAAAAAAAGCAATCCTTAGGGATTATGCATTATCAGAAGTAAAGTGCTACTTCTGACTTATAAAATGAAATAAAACTTGTAGAAGTCCCTTTTTCTGTGGAGCAATCACATGATTCTTTATTTGGTTAGGAAATTGTAATCTCTCCAGATGGAATTCGAGAGGTCATCTCATGGATCAAACAGTAACTGTTTACATACGAGGTGCCATGAATGGAAACTTTGTTAAACAGAGGGAAATGACAGCACTTTTCCAAACAGTTACAAATGAATTCAAATAAGGTCCGCGCCATCATTTGAATGATATAAGCAAAAAGCATTAATGTGATATTTTCAGCTCCAGTATTAAAATAGCCAATACCCACAGATTTATTCAGCAGTACAGTTCGTGTATCATGAATCGACTCTGAGCAGCTATCATACTGTGTATTTTCCAGTACAGTCTTACACACTGGTCTTGTTTGTAAATGATTTTATATCTGTTATGAAGTCTGGTGTTGGTGCCACTTGAACTGTTTTATACAGTTTGTTTTGGATGAGTTGTTTTTATGTACAAAGATGTTCTCTTCTACTGCAGATAAACATTTAATAAAAATGTCAAACTGCATGTTTTGAGTGCGTTTGTTGTTTTCTCTCTGAATGTTTAGGATATTTTAAATGTCTTAATTTATTTATTGTTTAGCTCAGGCAGCATTGGGGAGTAATGAACCGATCGTACATCTTGATCATTCACTCGCTTCTTTTTTTTTGTTGTTGTCATTTTTGATGTAGCTACCTACTGAAACTATAAAAAGGAAAAGAACCATAAAAGGAAATGAATGGTTTTTTTATGTCACGCTGCCTGTCTTACTGTAATTGAAGCCCCTTTTGCAAGCTCCGCCTCCAATTTCCACTACAAAGTCATGCCCAGGCAGTGCATTTGGCAGGCAGCCACCACCACACACTTAGAGCATGTGCAAAAGGTGTTACTCAAGTCTCAAACTGCAACAGCATAATCATGGATAAACTTCCTGAAAATATCAATCATTGGTATTCATAAGCCAAGGTTCAGGGTAGTTATTGCATGGTGGAAGTTGACTGAGTGGTGCAATGCCCCCACCATAGCATCAGGTGTCTGTCTGATGGTCTTTGTATAAATATAAAGCCAAATTTGATATTAACTGTGCTTTTTCTTTAAATACTGTATTTTTTTTAAATGTAGTTCTTCTTATGCATAACTAGTGAACAATTTGCTGCAATAAATCCAACTGAGTTGTGTGAATTTTTTGTTACATCTTACAATTTTGTATCACTTGAACTGTACATTGTGAATTTAAAAGTCGTTCCCAACAAATGTTTGTTGACCAATCTATGAAGGTCAGTGTACTGCAAAATGAGAAAACATCTTCATCAGTCTTACAACCAATGGCCTAAAAAATTTCACAACACAATGTAAAACTTATCAGGATAAACAAAAACAAGTGTTGAAGTCAGTTGGACACACGTCTTGATGTTTTGTGACTTCTGAAGTTGATTGTCACCAGTGTTGGAAAATTAACTAAGATGTATGAGATTCTGTTTGTTCATATACGATGTTCTGGTGCTATAAACCTCATAAAAATGGAAATAACACAACATACTGTAACTAAAAGAAGGATGAAGCCACTGTGGTAGTAGCCACTGGTTTGCAGAGTCACGGCCTGCTAACCTGGACTGAGCATTCTGGTAACTCTAATGGCTACCACCACTTATGAAACGATCAACATACTGCACTCAATAAAATGAAGCTAGCAGCTGACACCAAAACACCAAAAATCATTTACTGATTTAGTACAGATCATATACTTGTATATGACTTGTAGGACTTTCTCCAACCAGAGGCCTCACCCGCTGCTATTAGAAAGAATGCAGGCTTAAGGCACTTCCACATTGGCATCATCACAAACCACCTCTATCTTTTACATACAGTCTATGATAACTAGCAGGAAAAAACCCCCATGAAGAATAATTTTCCATTCACCAATTTAGTTAAAGTTTCCTCTTTAATGTAGCGGCATGTACTTCTATTTATGGTAGTTTCCATCATATTCCATCAAACAAACAAAAAGAAAGAAAGAAAGAAAAAGAAATCTGCATTGCTTGTGACTGTCTGGTGACCTGCAATTCACCATCTTGAAAAACTGTAACATGGTAACCTGCAGGAAATTTATGATGAGGGTTTTCTTTAAAGCCATTTAATAAAAGCAGGAAAATAAGGAATGCTGTGAATTCCCACATAAAGATGCACACTTTTTCACCCTGACAGCAGCTGCAGCTGGATTCATCACATCACTTGTGTCTGCTTTAATATGCTTTCTTATGTTGCAGCGTGCTGAGCTCTCTCTCAGTCACTGTGAATGTAGCTTTCTAAACGGAGTCAAGGGATTCTTGATTGATTGCCTCAATACCCTTTGACCTCAGTCAAGATGAGTTTCTTCCTTTGGCAACAGATCAGTACATACCGCTCAAAAATGAATCCCCTCCACCCTCTTCCCTCCCAGATATGTGCTGATCTGTTTTTAGAAGCTGGTGGATTTCCCAGTTCGGTCTCAAGTGACCCAGACTACTTCATCGTTACATAATGAATACATGTGTGAGTGTATGCCAACACACACATGAACCTCATGAAGCTGGAGGTGTTTGTTAAAAAAAACAAAGAAAAGAAAAGAAGAAATTTGCCACAATAGATAATCAAGTATGAATGAAAAGATTACTCAAATGCACCAGCATGCGAAAAAAACCTCTTCATTTACTGTATAGAGCACTTTTAAAAACAATGGGAAGTGACTCAAAATGCTTTCCAGTAGAGCCAAAACACATTTAACACATAAATATGAAAAACACACAGATAAATAAAATTGTGTGTGTGTGTGTGTGTTAAGCATGTGGCACTGTGACCCATTTAGCAGTATTTACATGGGATCATAGTAACAGTCAAGCAGGAGAAAGAAGATGAGATGTAACAGTGAAGGCATGGAGACCTTTTTGACCTGATGATGTTGCAAGATGAGAGTTCAAAACCAAAATTAGATCAAATTCAGAGGAGGACATGATTGAGCATAAAATGTATTCAAAAGTCAGAGTAACCTTCACTAAAAAGTATCATATGGCAACAACAAACTAAAAATGTGTTACATTTTAATGCTGTTCTTCCATTGTTGAAATGACTGTCTGGACCAACATGTTGTAATGATGCACAGATGATGCCACACTAAGTTTTAGGGATCACTCCCAACCTGAGGAAACACACATGCAAAGACTTGAATAACTTGTATAGCTAAAAATATACCCGAATCTGCATATGTTTGCATGCTGTACAACAATAATGAAGAAATATCTACCTCCTCTGTTGCAGAGTTTGTTTATTTTTCACTGCTCATCTTGGACACAGTTCTTTAAAAAATCTGCAGTGTCTTCAATCTGTATTTATCTGCACACATTTGGTCCAGAACTATTAAGAGTCACTACACTACATCATGATGACTGGCTCAGGATAGTACTTTCTATCCTTAGCTGCAGCCGTGTTACCGCACTATAGGATAGACCCTCAGTACGTGTTGTTCTCTTCTGCGCGCATCTCATGTTTCTTCATGGCAGTTACAGAATCTCAGATCTCTGTCTGATATGGTAATGTATCTTAATACACAAGCTGGAAGATTATATAATTGGAAAAGTGAAGACTTGTGCAAAAAGAGCTACAATATAAAACCAGTATCGCTTTCATTACCAAACTTATGTGAGTGATAAAGATAGCGTGGATAGGACAACTCTTTTATTTGCATTACACTTTGGTTGAAACTGGGGAAAGTGAGAGTAATTTGAACATGTCTTGTTAGATTGCAGGTGCTTTAAGCTTGCAGAGTGATGAGCTTCATAAGAGAATCATCTGACCAGGAGTGAAATAAAATCTGTTGTGTAACAGATGAACACGAGTGAAAACATGGTGATCAAGGGGTTCATCTACCCATGCAAATAATTGTCTTAAATATGTCCTTGAATTTGTTTAGATTATTTTAATTTGTTTAAATCATTTTGAAGAATTGTGATTAATTTACAGTAACACTCAAAACTCATTTTGCACAATGTAGAACAATCTTAATATCAGCCATGCAAAAGGCTTAGATCCTTGCCCAGCTTGTTTGGGTCATCAATCAAGCTGGGCATTCCTTGTTAATGGATTTGAAACCATCAGAGACGTTTTTGTAATAGATTTTTCCAATTACTGAAGAAATACATATTATTGCAAGTTATATATACATGTTTCTTTCCAGATGTTGCATAACGCTTTTATTACAACAGAAGTTGTTGCAGCCACAAAACAACCATAAAATTGTCTCCTAAGAGAACCAACTGAAAAGAGGACCCAGGATCATCTCTAATTCAGAAGATCTATTAGAGCTTCAAAAATCACCAATTAAATGCACTCTACAGTCCATATCAGCGCTTCTCAAGACACATCTTGACATCAACTGTTGGACAGGAAGCAGCATGTGAGGCTGGGAAAGAATGTCTCGGACTCCCGGACCATCAGCACCAGTTCCCCCCAGGGCTGTGTTCTTTCTCCTCTGCTCTTCTCCCTGTACACCAGGGGTGGGCAATTCCAGGCCCCGAGAGCCGGTGTCCTGCAGGTTTTAGATCTCACCTTGGGTCAACACACCTGAATCACATGATTAGTTCATTACCAGGCCTCTGGAGAACTTCAGGACATGTTGAGGAGATAATTTAGCTATTTAAATCAGCTGTTTTGGTTCAAGGACACATCTAAAACCTGCAGGGACACCGGCCCTCGGGGCCTGGAATTGCCCACCCCTGCTGTACACTAACTGCTGCACCTCCACCCACCAGTCTGTCAAGCTAATCAAGTTTGCAGACGACACCACCGTTATTGGACTCATCTCGGACGGGGATGAGTCTGCCTACAGGAGGGAGGTTGAACATTTGGTGTCCTGGTGCAGCCACAACAACCTGGTGCTGAATGCCCAGAAGACAGTGGAGATTATTGTGGACTTCAGGAAGCACACAGCCCCACTCCCCCACATCATCCTGATTGACACCCTCATCACCACCGTGGACTCATTCCGCTTCCTGGGTACCACCATCACCCAGGACCTGAAGTGGGAGCCCACCATCACCTCCGTCATAAAGAAAGCCCAGCAGAGGATGTACTTCCTGAGGCAGCTGAAGAAATTCAACCTGTCAACACGGACAATGATGCAATTCTACACTGCAATCATAGAGTCCATCCTCACCTCCTCCATCACCACGCTGGAGCCACTATCAGGGTCAAACAGAGACTGCAGCGTGTTGTGCACTCTGCTGAGAAGGTGATTGGCAGCAGACTCCCATCTCTGAAGGAACTGTACACCTCCAAAACACTAGGGTATGCAGCTCGGATCACAGCTGACCCTTCACACCCTGTGACACAGTCTGTTTGACCTGTTCCCCTCAGGCATGAGGCTCCAGTCCATACGGACCATTTATATTTTTATTTAAGTGTTGTGTTACAGTATGTTTTGCACTAAGTACCGCAGCAATTTCCTAATGTTGTAAACCTGCTCGACATTTGGCAATAAAACCCTTTCTGATTCTGAAGGGGGC